AGGATTTCTTTTTTGTGTGCAAATTTCATCTGATTTATTAATATTTTTTATAAATTAAAACTCAATTTTAACTTTAAAACTTTTTTTTTTTTTTCAGAACACAAACTTTGCCATTTCTTCCATTGTGCCCCTCCTTTTTCGGGCATTTCTAGTGCTTGGATCTGCATGAAATTTTGCCCAAATTTTTTCCAAAGTATGACAAATGCAATTATCTATTTTAAATATCAACATTTTATTGTATAATAAAAAAATTGTATGTATACCTTTACTAGGGTAAGTGAAATATGGACTTTTGCGTCTATTATTTTTCACACGCATTACATATTTTGCATGTGCTTTCTTATTAGTTATTTGCATTCTAGACTTTATTTGAAGCATTATGAACTATGCATGGTAAAAAATTACAGAATTTTAGGGATGAAAAGAGGGGAGGCAAAAGGGTTAAGGTTTTCACTCTGTCATTTTGCAGAGCTAAAAGTGTGTAACTTGCAAGAAAACTAATTAAATATTTGAAATCAGCATAAAAAGTTCCATAAACAGCTCAAGTTTCATTCCTCTGGGGTGAATATTAAATAAAAAGTATCTTCGATAAGCATCTCCCCTTAAGATTTGGTATAGAAGCTCAATGTGCTTGTAAAAAAATCGTCAAAACAGTTTCTGGGTTTCTTGGAGGTTGTTGCGAAATCAAATATGGGCCACTGCAGCCATATCTCAATGAAGGTGGCGTGCCAGAGGCTCCTGTGTTTAGATTTATGTGCATAATAAAGAACACTAGATTGTCTAAAATTTTGGAGCCTTCCATTTCAGCATCCCTGATAATGATATTGTTGTTCTGGGACGTGAAAACTTGCTAATAAGAATTGCAGAATATATATATTTAATGTGGGCAAATATTCGAAATATCGACTATTCTTCCGATGATGTTTGTAATTTGATTCAAACTGGAATTTTTTAATTCGAAGTCTTCGAACACGTCGAACTTCTTGCAGACAGATAAAGTCAACGTCTGATAGGCAGTGCTCCCTTTGGATTTTTAATACACTTTACCCTTCACACTGTCGTATTGTGGCACAGCTGCCTTTCAGGCTCTGCTACGGTCGCAAATGTGTAGATTCAAGAAAATGCTCGTTCCGGCATGGATCTGATAGATGTGGCAGAGGTGAGGGTTCAGTTAATGTTGTTCTGGATCTGAAATTTGGTCAGCATATTGTCAAAATTGGGCGCGAAAGATTTAACATACAAAATTTTACATGAGGCATATGTGAAACTCCAGACTTGAAGGGGGCACACCCTTGTCCGTCACATCAATCGGGCTTCAAAAGAAAAGGAGAGGCTGACGAAATAGCACTTCTGCCTTTGATGCGCAAAAAGTTGTTAACAACCCTTTTTTTTGCACCTAATCGTGTACATAAATACGACTTGGCCTAAGCGTTGCCTCATTTATAGAAGACAACTGTGAAACACCATCGCACCGTTGTTTCATCAACCCAGCCAAAGGAAACACCTTCATGTTGCTATCTCGTAAGAATATGCTTAGAAATCTTCTGCAACTTTCTTTTTCAGCAATTTTGCTTCAAAGTAATTGAAATACGGGCTAGGAATATTCGAAAAATATTTAGCAAGATATTATATTTGCACGCACATTTCAATATTCAAGTTCGCCTTGCAACCAAAATTTCGCTATATATATATATATAAATATAAATATATATATATATATATATATATATATATATATATATATATATATATATATATATATATATATATATATATATATATATATATATATATAGCCACGTTTTATTTTCTAAGTTTTGTTATCCTCCCAAAACACTACACAATTCTCAGCGCAAACCGCGCCTGCTGTTTTCGAGAAGCTTCCGGAATCATTTCGATAAGATCACGCCTACTCTGCGAACTGTACAGATTATTCTGGAACCTACACCACCACCAGCGATAACGCTAGAACATTCGACGGCAAGAGTATAAATGCCGACGCGCTTCGCCGCTTGTCAGTAGTTGATCGACGGCCGATGCTCCGTTCGCCGCTATCAGTCTAAGACTGCTACTGTAATCGGACTTTCCGTTTACCGGGCACAGGTTCGCCCAAATAAACAGTTAAATTCTAACGCAAAGTCTCCTGTCTTCGGCCACATCACAACCCTGTGACAATATATATATATTGTCGTTTACTAGACAGAGAACAAGAGACAACACCCGATCCTGGGCCAGCTGTTCTTATTCTGATCTTTTTTTTTCCTCTTCCACCTCGCTCGCCTAGCATGCGCGTCTGTGCCAGAGTGCCAGTTTCGCTCTTCGTCATCACACTCGGCCATAACTGCAAGCATTGTCACATGACACATGACAATGTTCTGGTTGATGAGGCTAGCAGTAGCAGTTGAGAGTGCTTCAAGTGGGCGGGGTTGGCTGCATCGTCGTGGTCGGCCCCGATCACGCTGGAAGTTTGTCGAAATTGGCTCCATTGGCCAACATTAGCTATGTCGCCTGGGTCGTTCGCTATGTCGTGTTGGGGACTGGGTTCTGGTTGGTCCCTTTGTTGATGATGGCTCCGCATGATGACATTGACTGTTTCGGCAAGGTTGGAGACCAACCCGGAAACACTGGCTGGTGTCCCATCGCAGCTGGTGGGCTGAGCTGCAGACGGATGCTCTGCAAACCATCCGGGTGAACGCATTAGCCATTTCTCGACAAGAGATGTGATGCAGCTCGTGGTCGGGCAGAAATAACGCAACAAAACTCGGACATGATTCAGCCGGTGGCTTCTGGCAAAGTATCACGTGCACATGTGGTCTCCAGGGAGGTAACAAGGAGAGCTGGTCCGCGACAATTTCTCAATGGCAATAATCTCTGTTTTCTCGAAGAAAACATCCCTTGAAAACTCAGTGTCTGTACAACTGAGCGACTGTGCGTTTTCGGAAATTAATGTCTGAGGCGTCTGCAAACGTGGCTGTGTCTGGTCAGGGCTCATCTTGTTCACATCCTCGGGAAGGCCTGCTTTGTGAAGTTGTAAAGGGTACATTGTGTTATTGATGATCCGGCACATGGTCTAGTAGGGTTCAGTGGTGTCTGGCCCGAGAGAGGTGAGCGCCTCTACATCCTCAGATGGCGACGAGCACGAGGGCGGCATCTGCTGAGGAAGGTCTGGTGGTGGTATTCCTGGGTCCAATATTGATGCAGAGTTTGCAACCTGCAGAGGAGGACTGTGGTTACTTTGATCAGGGTCAGCAGTAGGAAACTCCTTGATGTATTTCATTTTTCGAGAGGCGTCTTTTCGCAAGGTGGAAATGCTCTCGCGTTCAGTTACTGAATCATTTAAAGCATGCAGATCCGCTTCTGTCTGGTCGCGGATGAGCGTGGTCACGGACGTGCGTTTGATGACGTGGTTGAACGTCCAGTAAAATGGAGGCTAGCGTCTCAGCATCTACAGTGGCAATGTTGGGCAATGTGGCAATATTGGGGAAGTCAGAGGGGTTGGTTGTGGTCATGGTAGCGGGTTGGTTGTCCGAGAAAGCTTGTACGGCAGCCAAAAGCTGCTGTGAGGGGTCGATAGAGCATTGAAGGAGACGGTGTCCTGACGGGAAGCATGAACAGCATTCCCAGGCAGCGGGAGACTGCGTGCTGTCTGGGCGACGCCGGGGTACGCCAAGGAAGTCCGACCGATGTCCCTTGGATGCACACCCGTTAGAAGAGTGTTTGGCTGGGGATTGATATCACGGAAAGTCTATGTGACGTTTCCGAACGACAGGAGCCCACTTGCCTTCTCTGATGATGGTGGTATTGAGGTTGCTGTCAGGTGGTGTTCTGGAACCACTGAAGAGGCATTGACGCCGTCCGCCGATGATTTGTTGGGTAGGTGCAGCAGTGGTCGGGTCGTGAAGTCCAAGACTCGAGAAGCGTGAACGGTGTTCCTGGATTGAGAGAGCCGCGCTGCCGACGACCCGCAAGGTAGAGGTGCTTTCAGCCACAAGGTTCAGCTGTCGAACTGCCTCATTGTCATGTAGTAGACAGAGAACAAGAGACAACACCCGATCCTAGGCCAGCCATTCTTATTCTGATCTTTCTCTTCCTTTTCTGCCTAGCATGCGCGTCTGTGCCAGAGTGCTAGTTTCAGTCTTCGTCATCACAATATGTGTGTGTGTGTATGCGTGCGCATGGAATATTTTGCATATCAACAACAGTTCGAATGGGACTTCACAACATTTTGATATGCACAATAATTTAGTAGTTGAGAGTTTGGCAGAATAGGTTAGTGACCTGTAATTCAAAAACAGCTCAATAATTTAAATAAATATGTAGCTACGACTGTACATCATGAAAAGGGGTGAATGTGCAAACACGGACCCAAGAGAAGCAGAGAACGAGACAACACTAACACGATCTATCAACAGAAAAGACTAGCTGGTAAGTATTCATGATGAATGCTTATCAACTAGCTAAACATTATGTTGTCGTAAGCTACATATTAGAACAGTCACAAGATTGCATTAGATATGAATATTGACTTTGCAAGCACTAGCTCACATAATTGTTTGTCAACCTTGGTTCTGTGCGAAGCTTACTTACACAACTGTTGCATCAGAATATGTTACTTCACGTTGAATCTGTTCTTTTAAACTACTACCACCCTTGCTTTGGACAGCTTGTTATGCCTTATTTGTGCACTATTGCTTGAATCTGTGTATCTGATTTTTTAAACTAATGTAGCCAAGTGACATAAGTGCCCACTTTCATCTTGTTTTGTTTCATATTGGCAAATTTGTTGAATGTATATTTGTACAGCTTTGTTTTTACAGTGTATGCTTATACGTACATTAATTTTATTCAAGAGAATGCACAGATTTTTAGTTAGATTTCAGGTGTGTATTACAATATTACTGTCCCATTTTAATAAATTTTTGGCGTCTTATTGACATGCAGGCAGCAGTTTGTCTTGGTTGTTGTGCATCTAATTGTGTTTTTTCTTTTCTCTCTTTTAGGAAAGAGATTCAGGAGGTGAACTGGCAGCGAAAAACAACTCAGACAGAGGCGGGTGAAAAGCTGAAGCACCTTGAAACAAGGTGAGAAAATGACCGCGAAAAACAAAAACATTTCCATGTTTTTTTGATACATGGGCCACACATTTTATCTTGCAACTTGGACTGTGCCAAAAACAGTCTCATTCAACAAGATTGCGGTTGGACGTTACGTAGGAAACGGAGTATCATGCACCATGGTGTTGTCCCAATGAGCAATGGGGGTACAGGAAGAACACAGAGAGAAGCACAGGATAGTGTGTTGACTTTGTGACACGCATGCGAGCACTTCGTGCTGTCTTATTTGGCATAGTTTATTGTGAAGGCATTGTTGTTTATCTCAAGTGTTAAAAAATTATTGTTGTGGTTTTAGTTCTTGACTTCCAACAGATTGAACTGTAAGAAACGTGAAACAGCTGTGCTGGCTGACACTCCAGGTAAACTTCCCGGTGCATCAGCCCTTGGCTACACTCTTGTACGGCATTCACGGACTGAAACTCAAGAATATAGGGCTTAAGTAGCGCGCATGCTTTTGTTTCTTTTGCCTACAGTTAATTTCGTTCAGGCATAACTTTGACTTGAGCACTTGCATCACAGCCAACGTAACCTTGAGGGGCCATATTGGAAACGCGAGTTCATTATCAAGAGCAATCACATGCAGTAGTCGTTGCATAAAAAAAAAAATGTTGTATTTTATTTCACGCGTGCTGCATTTCGGAACACCACATTCTGTTACGCCAACCATTGAGAGCTCAGTGTCGATGGCAATTAGCTGCTAAACACGAGGTTGTGGGTTCGATCCATGAAAACCATTGCCGCATTCCGGTGGTAACACAATATAGTAACAGTTGTGTACATTAGGTTGGCGAACCAAAGAACTCTAGATGGTAAGAATTACCCCAGGGCTTCGTACTGTGTCATATTTCATATTGTTCAGCAACTTGTAAAAGACATGTGCCAGGGAGCAATTTTTGTCTCTGATAGGAGGGGTCTCTATAAGCAGGTACTATCTTCTCATTTCTTGATCCACCCCTATATCATTGTGCGTACATGGGTGTGTTTTACGTCCAAATGTGCGCTACATCAGCTTCTCATAAAAGGCTGCAACTGTATATAAATGTGCTGATTTGATTAGTGAAACACTGCAATTGAAATTTTATATTTGATCTTTCTTTAGCTGGGTCAGCCTGGTGAGTAAAAATTTTGAAATTGAACGAGCTTGTGTGGAGCTGGAAAAAGAGATAGCAGCCCTGGAAGCTGACTATGACTTGAAGAAAAAAGCACTTCAGAGCCAGCAAGCAGCAGGACAGAGTGAGCCTTCCGACAAAAGCCAGAACAAAGAACAGGCAGAGGAGAAGGAGGAAAAGATGGACACTGCAGCTGAACAGCCGGAACCCTCCGAAGCAGCTCCATCTGATGCAACAGGAGTCGACTGATTTCATACTGTTGAGTTCGTGCATTAATCTGTGTAATAAACACCATCATTCACCTTGGATTGCGTTTCTATTTAGTTTGATGGGTGGGCTGGAAAGGGTATCGGAGGCGCATTTATGCCTCAGACTAACACAGATTGCACGACCAGTTGTGAATGGCAACCAAAAAGTGACTCAAGGCGACCGATGTTCACACTTGCATGTGTATTATACCTGTCGCCACGCAGAACTCATGTCTATGTGCATATGCCATGTGGCATAAGCAAATGCCTGATTTCGGCATTTGATTAGCTCAGACGTTTGCAACTGCAGTTGCATATCTGAAAAACTAATCGAAGGGGTGACTGAGCTAAAGGACTATCATAGTCATGTGACAAGTGCTAGTTGAAGGTATGAACGAGCCTTGAGAGTGACCAGGTCACTGAAATTTGCGCATGAACACCTTCAGGTCACTCCTGAATGTGCCTCAAGAAACATGTTTAATCACTTTGATTGTTAACGTTTACAGATACAATAAATTAGGCCTGTGCAAATATTCAAAATGAATAATGCAGTATTCAAATTCACTTCAAATTGAATTGGAAATTTTGAATTATTCAAGATGAACGAATAGATATATAATCCACATGTAACATTTTGTGAAGGTGGTTTTACCTCAGTGGAATAGTGCTAAGCCGTGAAAACACTTAATTAGCTGTATGTTGTTTCGCATGTAACTTTCTGTAAAAATGGTTTCACAGCAGTGAAGTGGTGTTGATCAGTGAAAACTCGTATCCCCCCCCCCCCCCCCCCCCAAAAAAGTAGACTGCCGCAAAACCGCACTTCAAGGCTGAATTAAGGTGTTACCCTCACATCGATTAAAAGCTTGTTATACCTATATGTTCTAAGCATAGCTAATTTTAAAACTTGACATATTTTATAGACTCTCAGTAAACCGAAATTTGTTAAACGAAACTGCTGCCTAAATGAAATTGTCTCCGATATGATTGGTTAGGTACTTGTATTCTGCACCGCTGTTCATCTCTCGGTAAACAAAACTCCTTTTAAATGGAACATATTTTCCCGATCCCACCAGGTTCCGTTTAATGATAGTTCACTGTATTTTATGTCCACCGCTGTGCAAAAGGCCCTCCTGTCACTATTTCACCAACTTACACAATCACATGTCCGCAAGTAATACCATTTTACCCTGCCTCAAAGGGTCAACCAAAGGGTTAAGCTAACGCTTTGAGACACCACTTATGAATAACTGTGTGTAAATGCAGCAAACCGATAAGATTTTATTCAAAGCACTCAATATTCTATTCCAACAAAACTAATGTTTTAAGTGAATGTGTGTTATAGTAACAATTCATAATTACGTTTTAATATGTATCTAGTTATCTTGAAGTGATTGATGTTCTCTTTGGCATAAGTAGAATGAAATTTCACGCTAAAGATATAGGGCAAGTTCATTTTTGGTGATATTAATTTTAAGCCGAGAAAAATGATATTTTTGTGATGGTCTCGCAGCAAGCGGCACGTTAAACGACTCGTCGTATGTGGTTGTGCCTTGCCAAAGTGACCATATGCAACATTACTTTGCAAAATGAAGTTAGACGAAGACAAACTTACTGTGCAAGAGGTTCAATTCATTCAAATCTTGATAAATCTCTCTTTTTCTTAGCCCCTAGTTGATACAAAAATTCAAAATTAAGTGGAGTACAGTTATGACGTGTCAGCATACAAGCTCAGCTTATTTATTGGAAAATCTGCCTTTCACACAATTTCAAGTGCCACGGCGCATATGCCCTTTCCCCAATTGGAAATGTTGCAAAATGCTTCGTGGTCTCGGAGGCCTTTTTTCTAGAAATGCCAGGTCTTTTGGCCCCTACCGAATTGGCCGAGGGCAGCAGAGGAAAATGGAGAAGGCGGATTAAAGGTAGGGTCAGGGCATGGTTGCAACTCCTACAGTCTGATTGGTAATCTGCATCAACGCAGACTGGTGAATATTGAGGGAACTCATGGTGCAGAAAGACAGGCATACAAAACATGGACACAGGAACCGTGGTTGTCGCCTGAATTTTTTAAGCTTGTGCATCATGCACTTGCATGGGTGCTTGTGTATGTAAGCATCCCAAACTGGAAAGAAAAGTTCAATGATTACGATGCTGCCTAATGTGAATTCTGAGCACGGCATCGTGTTGGGGCAACGCCAACTGTGTTTGAAATTTTGGCTATTCGCAGTTGGTAGCAGTGTAACATTTGTTACATATTTTCATAGAAACTGCCAGGGCTCGAGTGTTACGCACACCACTACGTGCATTGCAGGCACCGGAAACCAAGTGAAACCCCGACAGCTCTGCTGAGACAAGTGAAGCCAGCCGCAGTTCGCATGCCATCCCTGCATGCGCACGACCTCCGACCGAGGCGCCTGTGCACATGACCCAGGAATATAGCAAGGTTAGAGGTCAGTGATAGGAAGGCTAGAGGCCAGTGGTTAGAAGTTTATGATATCGACAGACTCCGCGTTCGCTCTTTTTCATCCTCGTTTGCTTCATCAGTTATGCCGACGCTGCTCAACGCAGGAATGGGTGCAGAAGAGCTGTGCTTTAGAATGCCAGGCCTGCACAGAATGGGCTGCACAACCCCAGCAAAAGCTGGAAGAGCGGCCTTTCTAGAGCCCATTCTGAACTCCCTCGGGGCAGCTAATGCAAGTACACATGCAAGGTATCCGCTATGCCATGAGCCATAACTTTTGTGAACTAGGGAAGCATTTGCTATGCCATTATTCGTCTCTCTGCACATAGGAAAGGTACTCGCTACACATCTGGTAGGTATTATGCACACTTTGCTGATGCTGCGTGTGGCTGATGAAGATGAAGAATTATGGCTGAGCACTTTTTAATGGGTTAGGCTATTCGCATTGTGCAATGCTGAGCCGCCGTTTTATACTCTTCTGCCACGCTTTATTACATTACAGTTAATGCAATTCCTTGCCCAACTGTGATGCACGTTCTTATCATTTGTAACAGCTCTCTTTGGTTGAGCCTTCGAGAGCATAGACGGGGATAAAGCTGTTGGTTCAACAAACGCACAATACTTTTAATAAACAATGGAAGGGAAATCTGTACAAAAAATTAAGCGCTTAACAAAATGTTCATGTCACGGTATAATGTGGGCCGCGTCAATAGACTGTGCACATGAGAAATGCACCCATGCTTCTAATCATTTTTCTCCTTTATTTTTTTAATTTCTTTATCTTTGTGTGTATCTGTTACATTACTATCATGATGTTGGGATAGCCGGCTCTACATTGCCTAGTTTCCATATTTTTTCATATGAAAAAACAAAAAACAAGAACTTGTGTTAACACCCAAAACAAAAGTTGAAAGCCTTAAACTAGAGAGTATAGCTCGTACGCGAATGAGCGACATAGCGGGGCCAGAAAGGCAGCAGGTCTCCCCATGTTGTCGAAGGCTTAACGATGTTTACAAAACTGGAATGCGGTGGCTTCAGCTTTTGGAGTGGATGCAGGCTGGCCGGTGACTATGGGGTTTCAATGGCTGCAGTAGGCAGGCCCTAGCTGCAGGGCAACATGTTGAAAATTTAGGGCCAACCTGGCCAGCTAGCTCGATGCCGAGCTGAGGCCTGTAGCCCAACTTCTGCTCCTACGTTGCCTGCCGGCACTGGAATCTGTAGGCCTGGAACTGGAGTCCATGCACCGTGGCTACAGTCCTCTCGCGTGGCAGCGAGACTGCAGGAGGTGCCAGCCAGTCAAGCTCAGGGTTCGCAACCTGACGGCCCATCTTCAGTGCCCAGTCCTTCAGCTCGCCTCAATCTCCTCAAACTCCCCGCCTACTTCCGCTGCCTAGGCTCGCTTGCCCTCAGGCACACTTGTTTTATCGCGACTGGCGTTGATGGGCTCCGTGGTGATCCACTATTATATCTTGTTTGCTTTATTATTTTCATTCTTGCGCCCCGCACTCTTAGACACAGGGGTGCTGGACATCATCACTGTTGCTTAGGCAACACCGCACATGCACTCAGTCTTTTCACATCGTGCAGTTCTTAAACGGTCCCTTAACGAGCACCACTCTTGTCATGCCGACATGACACCTGCATAGGGTTTTTTGCAGTCTGCAAATGAGTTTCTAGCACCAGCGTGCTTCTGAAGTTGAACACCCAGGTTGAAATTCTGGGTTTTTGTGCAGTAAAGGCAGACCAACATAGAAAACTCGTTACAGTGTTAGTTCGTTGATACGATTTTGCATAATATGCATTTTTGGCTTACAGTTTTCTTATCATTCCTGGGCAACATTCCTTGAAAAAAAAAAAAATGCTTTTTTGTGCACACAATAAAACCACATATTTGCCCAAAGTTGAATAACATTACCTTGAAAGTGGCGTGTCAGTGATACCTAGAAATCCTAAGTGTATTCTTAGCTATACTAGCTCAAACCACGTTCTAACTGATGTTGCAGAGCCACTGAGGCCAGAGCATTGTTGGTACTGCAGCGGAAAGATAGCTGTCAGGTGCGGCCGCTGCGTCCTATGATGAAAACAAGAGCAGCTCAAATTTACCAGCTGCTTCATTGTTGCTCATTGAAAGCAAGTTACTGATAGAGCATGCATATTTCTTCCCTTTTTAATGTCTTTTGTTTAGGTTAATACGGTTATTGCATAGAACATTTTATCATCTGGGTCCCATCAAAATTGTATCAGTGAGATTCTACTGCATTTTGCTTCTAGCTGCTGTTGCAGTAGGCGTAACGCGAAGAAGTGACTGAAGCACTTTACACTCCTAATGCAACTGCCGATGCAAGTAGGCCTGATTGTTTTCTGAATATTTCATCAGCTTTGCATTAAAGTCACCTTCTAGGCACTAACGACTTGCAGTTGGTTTATGCGACACAACGCTTCATACATTACAGTGTTATGGGAATCGGTTGGGAACAGCTGGACATTTTGTATCTGCAACTAAACACATCGGGCATGTTGTGTGCTGCTCACGCTTTGTAGGCTGCCTGCTCTACATGCTGAAGCACTATGCTTTGGTGATGCCAAACTACTACATTGTTCCTGTGTAGTGCAAACTTTTTCCATTGCAAGTGGTGAAAGATGTATAGAAAAGGTGAGAAGAAATGTGAAATGGCTGCATGAAAGTTAAAATCGCATCAAGCATAACTTTATTAAACAGCAGTTATAGTTTAGTCAATCGAACGTTTAGCATATGTGAATCAGTCAGGTGAAAACGGGTAACGCACCTGCTTCTAACGATCAAAAATGGCAGAAAGGCACAATTTGTCTTCGATGGCCTCTATAATTCGAAAGCTTCAATGTCGGCACATGACGCGAAGTTCAAATAAAAGCGTGCTCCACCCCAGGTTATCTGTTATTACTACTTCTAGCACCAACAACGTCACACAACAACGACAGGGCGCTCGCATCGCCCTGCCTAACGAGCGCTTGGCAGGCGTAGCAAAAGATCGAAGATGCAACTTGAAAGTTGTCCGCCACATCTGACGTTGTAAACTTAGCGTCTTCAGCCACTCGCAGTCTCGAAATGTCACGTGTCAATTGTAGCGCCGCAACGGCCGAGCACGGCTCGACGTCCACGGTGTCGAGCGGCGAATCGCACAGACTGACAACGCGACGACGAACTCGGCCCTGCCGCTAGGGACTCGCGCCCGAGGCCGGGACTCTATCTTGTCGCCCGTCCGCCACACCGTGGACACCGTCGCCGGAAAGTTCTCTTGCAAACCATTCACGAACTTCGCCGTAAGCCTGGCCACGCTGGCGCGAGGTTCGCAACCCGTGCTGGGCGTTGTATGCGGTCGAAATCGCACGTTGCAGTGCTCGTTGAAGAGTTCGACCTCCTTGCTGCTGAACTCGCGCAGCGGACGCAGGAGCAGGACCTCAGGGTCGCGGTCGTCAAGAAAACCAACTTCTTCCCTCAACTGCGCTCCTCGACCCAGGGCGATAGTCGAGAGAAGGGTGGCAGCCAGCAAAGTGCCCGTTTCGGCGGTGAACACCTTGGCAAAACCGTTGTCTCTGGCGAGCCTGAGAAGCAGACGACGCATGCACAATCTGTAGAAAGACTCGCGGTCTGTTAACGTCTTGAACGATTCACAAGCCGTCGCGAATGCGGTCCGCGCCGCGCCTTCGCCGTCTCCGACCTCTGCGCGATGAGCCGACGGATCGAGCTTGAGGCGCTCCGTATAGTATAGGCAGTCGAGACGACATGTGTAGTACTGGAAAATCGGACTCCTCCATCAGATCGGTCACGTCTCCGTGAGTTCCCGACACAGACGAATCTTCGACGTAAACCAGACTCGGCTCGAAGAGGAGCTTCTTGTGCGTGTCTTCCGAGAAACCGTCGCGGAGAAGCCGCAGCATGGCAGCCGACGAAGGTCCGCCGGAAAAAGCAACCAGGACTTTGTCGCCCGGCTTCAGCAACTTGGATTTGCCGAGTGTAGCGCGAAACTTGTGGGTGCAGTTTGCGACGAAGCACGTTTTGCAGTACGCATCCTTCTTGCGGAGTACCAGGTGAGCCGTGTTCCCACACGTCTTGCATGTGTCGTCGCTGGTGCTCGCGACAGCGTCCGCGCCGGCGTTCGGTGCTAGCTCGGACTCATTGAGCTCTTCGCAATCGCAGGAATTCGAGCACATTTTGTCCGTTCAACTAGATGACGCGTCACGACCGCGAAAATGGTAAACACGGTAAACATGTGCCAACCACGGTGCCAACGCACTGCACGCCTGCTGCGCCATTGGCTGCACCATGACCTACTACACTCCTGACCTGTTCAGATAGCGGGGTTCCTATGGGAGCGCGTGTCCCCGCTCTCGTTCAATCGCTCGCCGTAGGTGGCGCTACCTATAACCTGTTCGTCTGCTACTTTACGGCTGTTTGGACGGCGCTAGAGTAAGAACGGCTGCATTCCGTGATGAACAGCCGGCATATATGTGACTATTTTTTCACTTAGATGACTGGTCAAGTAAGCTGTTCAGTGTGACGAAAAATTTATTGCACACTGGTGGACAAATGCGAGAATCCGTAGACTTACATAGTGTAGGACAGCATATGTGATGTTGCGTCCATTTAATTGCAAAGAATTTGTGAATGACTTTTGAAATATTTGTTTCAAAATTATTTTTCATTAGTGCATAATAATTACGCAATATGAGTGCTCTGTTGGCCGAAATATGACCACGAACACTCAAGCTGACGTCAGCGAACAGGTGCTGACTAGCGCCACAGTGCTCCTAAGTTACGGCCCTAGCGGCAGAAGGTATGAACTAGAACGTGGGCGCTGGAAGAGGTGCTCTCTGGGCAGGTCAGGAGTGTAGTAGGTCATGGGCTGCACACGCCGCCGCCATATTGCTTATTGACTGGACTTGACTTGGCCAGCGTAGGCTGTTGATCACTATTTTTTGATTATTGTTAGTTTATTGTTGTTGAGAGTCAGAACAAATTTATTACTTGGCGACTCCTGACTTCAAAAAAAAAAAAAAAACTTGTAGCCCCATTCTGCTAAACACCACTAGACGTCAATACAGTTTTCTTGCCTACTTGAAGAAATTTTAAATGGCAAAACAAAGTCAGATGAAGCCAAGAGTAGCTTAGCCGAAGCTACACGTGCTTTCATAATCGCAAACAAGCACATGTGTACGCATGTGCCTCTGCTACTGTAAGTAATCGAATAGGTGCTTGCCGCTACCTTTTTTTCGAGTACTAAGTCGTGATCGCCGTTCTAGATGACTGCAGAGATTATAGAGCGATGCGTTCGGATACACGGGCGGGAAGCAGGCGTTTCCTTCTCTTGTACGCTTCGCAAACAGGACAGGCTGAGGCGATAGCTCGTCGACTGAACAACGCCGCTCTAGAGCGAGGTTTCCTGCCCGATCTGCACTGCGTGAGCGCGTTCGGCCGCGAATTTGACCTGGCCAAAGAAGGCTGCTTCCTTCTCGTAACGTCAACGACGGATGAAGGGTTAGTGCCTGAGAACGCCCGTCGTTTCCTACGGTACTTACGTAAGGCACCGGACGGCCTCCTGAGCGGGACCCAGTACGCCGTCCTCGGCCTCGGTGACACCAACTACAACAACTTCTGCAACGGCGCCAGGACTTTTGAAAGTCAATTCGACGCCTTGGGCGCTACGAGATTCTACGAGACTGGTTACGCCGACGACGCCGTCGGTTTAGAGACTGTAGTCGAACCGTGGATCGCCGAACTGTGGAAAGCGTTGCGTGGTGCTGTGATATCTGGCGCTACCGCCACAACTGAAAGTCAGGAGGAGGACCCTTTGCCATGTAGTGACTATGGAAGACGGGAGTCTCACGAGCTCTAGCCTGAGCGCTTCAACGGAACTCACGCTGCCGCTCATGAAAGATCCGGTGGTGTGCGTGCGATTTGACTCGTCCAGCTGCCGCCGTCAAGAGGACGACTGACAGTGACGTCGTCTGGCAAGGAGGTCAGCCGCTGCCTTTTCAAGAATCTGACGTTTTTCACGTCGCCCTAACGTCGGCGAAACGTCTGACATCGTCGGAGAAGGTCAAAGAAGCCTGGGAACTGGAATTCCAGCTGCCCTCACCCGATAGTGAAACCCAGCGTCAGCTTTAAACCGGGCGACTCGTTCGGCTTTCTCTGCGTCAATCGCGCAGCTGAAGTAACCTTCGTTATCGAAAGGCTGGGCGTTCCCGGTAGTCGATTGGTCGTCGTGACGCATGCGCAGAAGGCGCGGAACATGGACCATCTGCCCAAAGCACCGATTACCGTGGAAAGGCTACTGACTACTTGCTGCGACCTTAGGGGCATCCCGAAGAAGATATTTTTGAGAACACTGGCCGAGTTTACTGCGGAAACGAGCGAAAAAAGGCGCCTGCTGGAGCTTAGTAGCAGAGAGGGCAGCAAGGACTATATGCGCTTCATTCTTGAAGGAAGAAACACTTTCCTTGATGTTCTGAGGGCTTTCCCGAGCTGCAAGCCCCCTCTAGCTTCCTTGTTGGAGCACTTGCCGAGGCTCCTTCCACGCTACTATTCTGTGTGCAGCTGGTCCTCGCAGGACGGCAGTGTTCCACGTCGCTTCAGGATACTCTACAAACGGTGCCTTGATACCTGGATGTGATGAAGAGGGCCTGTGCACTGGCTGGCTAACAGACCTCGCCAGAAAATGGCTCACACAGCGGGACATAGTGTCCAGCATGACGTCCTTATCACTGAGTGACAGTGTGTGGAACAGAATGCCCATTTATCTGAGAAAAAACACAAAGTTTTCACTTTCCCGAGTCACTGAGCACGCCCGGTTATTATGATCGGACCAGGTTCGGGTGTGGCCCCTTTCTTTCGTACCTTCAGTGGCGTAAAGGAGCCATGGATCGAAGTGATCGATGTGAAGTTTCGGAAACCTGGTTGTTCACGGGTTTTCGGCACCGCCATTTGGACTTTTTATATGAAGACGAACTCTGCGAACTTGTAAAGCAAAATGTGTTGTCGAAGCTGGTAGTTTCATTCTCGAGAGATGCTGGTGGCGGGGACGCTGTCGAGAACCCCGAGACGAAGCACAGTAGTGAAGATGAACTGAATGAGGAAGATGTAAGCTGTTCCATTTTGATCCATGGCGGAAAGTACGTTCAAGACAGCATGAGGCTTTGGTCTAAAGATATAGCTAGGCTGACTTCCCTTGACAACTCCCGTGTGTATGTGTGTGGTGACGCTGTCAGCATGGCAACAAGCGTGAGAGACACTTTCACGGACATCCTTGTTGATGAGGGAATCGTTGCAAGCAAGGAAGAGGGTCTTGCATTTGTGAAAGAGCTTCAGAAGCAAGGCCGGTACTTGGAAGACATTTGGACTGCATAATATTTTTTACACTTAGACGATTCAGTTCAGTGCCATCTTCAATAGTTTCATATTGTAGTCTTCCTTCGTAAGTATAGGATAGAATAAAGGAAACAGAATGCAATTTTAGCTTATTTTTACCAGTAAGCAGCTATATCTTTGAGTACTTCAAAAGCTGTACAGGGTGTGCAAGCAGTATAAGAAGGCTGCCCTGTTTGCTTTTTACTGTAAAATAACTGTTCTGGCACTATACAGTGTTTCATGTGCCACATTGAAATATCTTAATTTGCATCAACTATGTGCACGATGTCATCATGCGTGGTTACAAAGAGCATTTATCATAGTTGCTTTACTAAGATTGTTGAACTATGAAGCAACTACGAGATACTTTTGGCAATGTCAGCAAATTGCAGACATTGCTATCATGAATTCAAATGCAATTGCATTTTAGTTCGTGATCGTTTCCTACTCATTTCACAACAGTGCATTCAAATCGGTTCAAATTTTTTGTATCGCAACTGACAGAAGCAGGTATATCTCATAGATCTGTCAATTAGAAATTTAATTCCTGTGCACCTGAACATTTCTCCTGTAATAACATGGGAGCAAACAGCACTCTACACTAGATGCTGAGAGAACGATGTGCAGGGCGCTCTTGAAGAGGGCCTATGTCAGCGCTATGTCTGTCGTTCTCTCACTGTCCCGTGTTCAACGCTGTCTGATGTCATCTTAATAGTTTACCCACCAGCTCAATTAGGTGCAGTACTACATTTCTCGTGTAGTTGAAGTATCGTGCTCCTTGCTGTTTCACAACCGACTCCTTGTGGACATCTTACGGTATTCAAGGTGTAAAAGAAATCTTTTATCAGTTTCGCTTTTGTGTTTCTGTTTTTCACCTCGTGGGGATTTTAAGACGTAGTTCTTTACGCACGGGTGGGCGTGCGTAGTTTCAATGATGGCGCCGAGGTCGCGTGTGACCGCTTCACAAAAACGGCGAATTTCGGAGGATTTTCGTGCATCTGGGCTGGCATCTTGAAATGATGACAACAGCATAGCCTCTGAAAACGACATCAACACTTCTAATTTAAGCACGGAGGTCAAACCACCCCAAAATGTCAGCCGTCATCCGCTGGTCAGTGTAGCTTTGCGCTTGGGCCGCGTTATGGCCAGTGCGTGTCGGTGTAAGTTGATTTGATGTATTCTGAAGGTTAGGAGTATCCAGGTCCTTTGGGTGGGACCACATGCGGGCGGCAGCGCAGAGAGTGCAGTTTCATGCGCGAAGGCAGCCGGGGGTGAACCTTGGAACTGCGCTCCGATGTGAGTGCGACGCTTCGTGAGAGCTTTCAACTTTTTCTCTTTGTTTTATACTGCTCAAGCTATTGGAGAGAATAGAAAAATATTTTCGCTGAAACATGCACTGCAAACCTGTGATTTACCGCCTCGCGAAACTGCTTGACATGGTCGCCTGAAAGAGGCCATGTGTAATGTTATTCTATGTACACTAAACCATTTCCATTTACAGCGCTTATATTTACAGAATAAATGTGTGTTTTCCTTGTGCTTGAAATGTACATTTAAATTTTTCCTTATGCTTAGCCTGTTAAGAGCAGTGTTGATGTTTTTATAAAATTTCTTTAGTTTTTGCACGTCTGATAAATTTTCTTGTACCTATAATAAAATTGTGGTTTCAAAGTGACTTTGTTTGAAAACTCCTTGCTGTACAGTTTGGTGCCACAAACATTAAAATCAGAAACTTTGGGTGCCATAAAAAATTTTCTGGACTACCCGAAAACGGGCAAATTTTCTCGCGGTCTCGGTAGTGTTAAGCAGCCAGTCTAATGGGCTATAAGCGTGCAGTGGTACTGTTGAAGACACCCCTAGAATTCTTCACGTTCTATGGAATCTTTGTAGCTCAGATGCTCTGCTAATACCCCTGTCACACTGGCAAATATGGTCATTTTTAGAGAAGACACTTCGCTGTGTCATTCTCACCCTGTCAAATAGAAAAGCTTAAAGACATTCGCTGCATATTGCATTTTCTGTCGAGCGCATTGGAGAACTTACTATGCTGCAACGAAGTGTGTAATCTCAGCGGCAGTAAATTTATTAATTAATTCATGTAGGAAGCGGAGTGCCTAGTGTTCTTAAACCAGTGTTTTCTACATGAGAAATATGGTTATTTAGTAAAACATGCTATACAAAAAACTGGTTTGCCTACTTTCGCTCCTGGGCAGAGTGAGACTACGGCCATAGCTGCACATGCAGTGCAATGGCCACTTTCGTAAATAAAGTTGATTAGGAGGGCTGTTTATAAATATAATATATTTTCTAAAAATATTGCCTAAATTAGCATATATACAATGGGCAACTAACTCACTGCCATATTATCATTCTGAAAGGGTGCTTTTTTTTTCTTGTGTAGTGTCATGCCGCCAAAGTGACACTCTGTGAGTGTGAGTGCACTCGCTGAGAATGACACCACATTTGCTAATGTGACAGGGGTGTAAGCTGTAGAATAACAGTGTGATTCTTGGTACGGGTGGCCACATTTTGGTGCAAGCTAAATGCAAAAACAATCGCCTACACATATTTCATCATCATCAGCCCGAGTACGCCCACTGCAGGGTAAAGACCTCTCCCATGATCCGCCATTCAACTCGGTCTTGCGCTTTCTGCTGCTACGTTATACCTGTGAAGCTTTTAATCTCATCGGCCCACCTAACTTTCTGGCTCCCCTACGTCCGTTTGCCTTCTCTGGGAATCCAGTCAGTTACCCTTAATGACCAGCGGTTATACTGCCTACGTGTTACGTTCTTGGCCTATCTCCATTTATTCTTGATTTCAACTATATCTTTAACCCCGGTTTGTTCCCTGACCCACTCAGCTCTCTTCTTGTTTCTTAAAGTTACAACTATCCATCACTCCCTGCGTCATCCTCAATTCAAGCTGAACCCTCTTCATGAGCCTCCAGGTTTCTGCTTTCAGTGAATGTTAAAGATATCCACCTGATGAAAATGTCTCTGCAGTTTGCCACTACTGCATACATCATAACGGTGTTGTGGTTCTGGCGTGGTCTGGCCAGGGTCGTAACCAGGGGGGTGTTGAGGGGATTCTCACACCTCGCAAAACTTTTTTATGCCTTAACTTTTGGGCGATACTAAAATATTTACCCGCCTTCACATCGAATACCAATTATTAAATTTAGCCGTGCAAACAACACCAAAAACAATTCCCAACTACTGCACGGGCAAGCCATCCCGGTCATGGTCACGACTTCAGTAGCCGGAACTTTCAGGTCAGGAGGTGGTACAGCACTGGTTCTGGCGCATAAGGCACTAAGCTGTAAGTGTGTACCAGTAGAGGCAAGCTCAACAAGAATAGGATCTAATACAAGTTAGCTTACATGCCGCTCTAAGTTTCTGCAAATTTAGGCCTATAGCTTTTGTGTTCTTCCACAGTCAACTGCACAAATAGTGCAGCAGCCAGAGCCGAGTTTCTATGTTCATTTTGAAAGGCCTTATATTTCACCCCTAAGTATTAGTTTGGAGATATTACAGTGAATACATCAGCTACCAAATATGTATCTTTGTGGAGTGTAATTTTGCTTTTACTTCAGTCGTGCCTTTTACAAAGGGTCTACAAACTTTATTCGTGTAATTTCACTGGATTGTAGCTGGTTGCCTGCTGTTCTTAACTTTAGTAGGATGTTGCAGAATTGAAAGAATACAATTGAACCTCATCGTAACGAAATTGAAGGGGAGTCATAGTTTGCTCGTTATAGCCAATATTTCATTATAGCCACAGCAGGCATTTACAGAAGATATGTGCTACCCTTACCTAAAAGCAATAGTGGACAAATAGCATCTTGCCACATGGCAGTACACAACAAAATATCTGCATTTCTTAGATAAAAAGAGAACGTTATGCACCCCTACTTTATTGCAGTTCAAAGTACATAACTCACATTTCAAAAAGACCTAGGAGCAGAAGAGTTCATGATAGGATGCTGATGCATGCAGCCAAAGCACATGAAATGCCTGTAACTTAGCATGCATTGCTGGAGGATGTGTGGCAGGAGTTTTGAACTGCCAAATACAATGGTTGCATTAGGCAGCATCTCAAATGTGATATGGGTACTATCTTGACATTGGCTCAAACTTTTGTTCCTGAAAAAAAATTGTTCGTTAAATTCTTTAGCAGGCAAGTCTTACTCCATTAAAATGAGGTTTTAAGTACATTGGTCTCTAGGGAAACTTTAAGGGAAATTTACAATTTGCTCATTCCAACTTTCATTTCTTTACAGCCTTTCTCGTTATATTATGAGGTTTAACAGTATCATCACAGTGCAAAAACTTTTGGGTTCATGACTTGCAAAAACAGTGTACGAGGCACTGGAGACCAGATAAGCCGTGAAGTCAACGTTTTTCCAATTGTAAAGCCAGCAGAAAAAAAATTTTATGCCAACTTCTTCATCTTGTCTTATAATTCTCTCATTTTAATCTTAAATTCAATCATTGATTGTTTTAATCTTGAATTCAACCATTGATTGTACGCATATAAAAATAGAAAAATTTCTGTACTTTTGTACAATTTATAAAGGCAGAAAAATGTCTGTACTTTTGTACAATTTTGTACAAACAGTTGCACATTTCTGAGCCACTAGCAAAATTAGTTTTAGATACTATTTGTCAACATTTACAAAATATAGGTATCACTACATTCTAGGTACTACTTACATATGCTAGCACATGCAGGCACTGGACACACCTATTGTTGTTAATGATAAATACAAATACATTTTAACTGTACATCTATTGCAGCTCTCTGTTTCAGCCATGATTCAAAATGCATTCTAAACCAGCAGTTCCAATAGTTTGGTTGTGCTCTCTCTTGCGGAGGCGTTTTTTTTTAGCATTGAAAAAAGTTTTCGATGACAGTATGTCAATGCTGTTCCTGGATATTCACAGAGGGCTAGTAACTATTAAACATGCTGATGCTAGCAGGCTGGCAGCCTGTTACCAGCTGCTCTTCACCCACCATTTAACACTACGTTTGCCTAGCAGTAAGCAAAACATTGCTGATTGAATATTCTGTTATACTTATTGGACTGTGACATGTGAGCTGACTTCTGTTTGACAATCGGCATGATTTAGTATGAAGACATGGATTATGTTTGCATTCGCATTAGACTGTGAAGTCGCTTGCAAGATCGATTTGTCACTCCACACTTTTAGCTGACGTTTTAAGGCAGAATACCTTGGTGTATTCTCTGCCAGGGACTTGCATATCGCTTCCTCAAGGGACGGGCATAAGAAACTAGTCTATAAGGCTGCACTTTTGCATACTGCAACCACCGAAGGCGTGTCGCAGATGCCATCTCTAAACACCACCTATGCCGCTGGTTTTGATCACACTATCAACAATACATTGGAAATGAAAGAATACTGCGTCTTTTGCTTGTTTTACAGGCAGGAGAACATGACACAGGCTTGCACGTGCAGTCTTTGGTGAAGCATGCTTAAAAACCACACATTCACTGGCATTGCCTAAAAGTCTTACATTCATTTCCGAAGGTCGTTTTTGTTGTTGCTGGGGACGGCTATGCGCCGATTCTAAACAATGTTTAATATAGCACAGATATCATTGTTCTGTTATGCATGCCAATGTACTGTCCATCAGAATGCATTGGCTAAAAAGAAGTTTGTGCATCAGGGGGATTTGTTGGGCAACGGCACCGACACTGTTCCGTAGTCTTTGACAAGCGTTGGATCTTTGTCCTTGTCCACAGGACCCTTGAGCTTTAGCTTCTCGAAGATGTCAACTGAGGGTTCCCACTTCAGGTTCGAGCACACCACGGCGGCTACTATAAATCCAGCACCTACGAGGGCCCACGGCGTGGGTGCCTTGAGTTGCACGGCAGCCTGTAGGGCGAATGAGAAGACCACACTGGACGTGGTCGCAATGGCCACGCGACCGGCCTCGGCTAACGTGCATGCAATGGTTGGCAGCAAAGCCGTCAGCAGAGCCGTCAGGCCTGCACCAGCCGTGTAGGCTAAATCCAGAGGCTCAGTGTCCAGGTGACGGAGTTGCCCCAGAGCTCCTGCCGGGGGAACGCAGAGCACCACGGTGGCCACGGATGTCCAAAGAGATACTGTTATGGGTGATACCTGCAATTTTGATTGACACTTTTTATAATTTATTCAAGGGTAATATAATGTTTAAGAAAGCAAAATGATTCATTTGCCTTTCCGTGATTGGCTAGAATTGCTTTTGCATCCACGAAAGAGCAACCTGGACCAATTGCACAAGGGCAAGTGAGCCAATGCACTTTCTTGACCCTTACATTACAGTCTCTGATGAGATCCTGCCAGCCATTTCATTAATTTTATCTTTCTGGGTATAGATAGGATACATAAGATGTCGCACATGCAGCTTATCACCATGCTAGCATTCAAACATTCTGCTAAAGTGATGCCAGAGGAGCAGTCCAAGCCATCTATAACTTGCTCGCGAAAGAGTGGGAGAGGTGCCTTGAAGGGGCCCTGCAACACCTTTTCAAGTAGCCATGAAATGGATTCGCTAATTGCCTCGCTAATTCACGGCTGTAAAAATTTTCAGAATCCTTCATGTACGAGCGGAGTTAGATTTCTTCTCTCGTCCTAAGGAAAGCGCTGGAAGCCTTAGTTTGGAGCTGAGAGAAGAAAAAGAAAATTAGGCAGATCCCACATGGGAATCCACGTTACGCGAAGTAAGCCGTGGAAAGGTGACCATGTTGCAATTTTTTTTATTGAGCGACACATCATGAAATGACGCTAAATAATGTACAAATGTCGCATGCACAGACATATGTTGAAGAGTTGCAGATGTTTATATAACCAGTTGTTTGCACTTGTGCAACGTTGCCACTGGAACATGTGCATTAGCAACACCAGAAGCTAATATGAAGCGCTTATGCTTGCAAAGATGCTGGCCCTAAACACTGCTACATAAATCAACTTCAGCGCATGGCAACTAACCACATCTGACGTTAACCCGATGTGGCGGCTGTATCAAAATAGTACACATGTAATGTTTATAGAATTGAGTAGGCAGCACTGAAACAACTATTAACGTTTCATGAAGATTAGCATCTTTTTGAAAAGTAGTTCAGAGACCTGGCGTAGCTCATTGGCACCCAGAATACTTGGGTTCGATTCCATATCGGACTTGTCGGGTCGACGCTACTGACGTCAGGTATTTCTTAACACCGGCACGTTGAAATTGCCCATGTGTGTTCTCGTTGTTACTGGGTGCATACTCAGTGTCAATCACTTGTTGCAAATACCTGCATAGTAGCGGCACATTCCCGCTTGTGGGTATGTGCCACTGTCTGGCGGGAAGTGTTTGACGAGGTACGCGAAGGGATTGTGACATTATTCATGTCGTGACAAGCACGTCGTATTCATCAAGCCATCTCGCCCTCTCATGCTAATTTTAGTTCACGCCAAGTAAATGGGGCGACCACGAGAGCACCCAAACGTAAGTGGATAGATAGATAGATTATAGATAGACAGACAGGCAGACAGACAGACAGACACACAGATAGATAGATAGATAGATAGATAGATAGATAGATAGATAGATAGATAGATAGATAGATAGATAGATAGATAGATAGATAGATAGATAGATAGATAGATAGATAGATAGATAGATAGATAGACAGACAGACAGACAGATAGATACGCTCGATGTCGCCGAAGTTCGCTAAGAAATGCTTCGCATTTAAAATTCCTGACAGCGGCCTGCGATATAATGGCTTGCTTGTTCTCGGTAGCCTCGACGTGCTATATCGAACAAGTGACCTTTGAAAGGGGAAAAGGAAGAGACAGGCGCAGCTTCGTTACTGCCTCTCTCAATAGAGGGCATTTCCACTGTTCTGCGCATGATATTGGGGTAAGGAGAGATTAAAAAAGGATAGAGAGGAATTAAAGGCATAGAGATAGAGAGAGGGGCAGGAACAGCCAGATACAGAAGTAAGGAGAAGATAGGCAAGAGGGACATGGTCGCGAGAGTCCGAGGATAAGGCACCACTCAGCGAGAGCTCTTTTCGGTGTCAGGAGATGGCGTAGGGCGAGCCAGTCGGCCAGAGCGGCGCTGTCGTCGGAGATCGCGGGAGCACAACTGGTCAGCATGAAAGGCGTTTTCTGACCACCCTCAAAAAGTCTTGCAGGGCCCCTTTAATGATTGGCCGAGAGGTTTGCCTGACTTTACGCGTCGTAGGCTTCTACAGTCAGCTGAGTGGGGCAGGTTGAAGTGCAAGACGCGATCCCTCAACCCCCTACCGCTTCCCTGGGCGCAGCATATCTGGCAGCCACATAGCCGTAAAGGGTATGCCAGTCTGCATTTCCTTCTCGACACGTGCACACTGTTCCTGGTTGGCTAGCTGGCACCTTAACCGTGACTATAGGGCAAAGGGAAAGACCATCTGTGCCACAGTTAGCAAGAAATCGGCGCTTTTGTTTTTGTGTGTATGTCGCTTTCACTTCAGGAGAATGTTCGTTAAAGGGACAATAAAGTCAAGTAACAAGTTACGTCAGAGTGAAAGCTCAATGTATGACAACATCTGAAACGACAATATTATCAACAACAGTGCCCTTTTTACCGAGAAATCAAGGTGAATGCACAAGAACACATGCGCCGCAGTAGGACATTTTCAAAATTATTCCGATGACATCAGACATACTGCCTACAATTGATCACTAGTAATCGGTCTAGCTGCACTAAATAAATAACCTTCTGTGCATCAAGAGGCGCAATAAAATGCTGCTTGTTCGTTTCTGTTTCATTCATGGAAAAAAGTCGCAGCTTTGCCAGAAAGGCGAAGCAATGAGCGCAATAGCAAAAATTGAAAGGTCACGCGCAGAATGTAAATCAGATCGACACATGCCCCATGTTCCTCATGCACAAATGTCGCACAAAACGTACTCACAGGTGCGGATGCACGCGAATAAGCGTCTCATTTGTTTCTTTGCTTTGCCTGAAAAGCGCGCGCTTTTTGCAAATGCAGACTGCAATTATTGCAGCGACCTTTGTGTACCCGCTAACTACAGCAGAATTGTTCCAGGTAAAGCCCCAGGTAAGCCAAGGCGTACGACCTTCCTCTCCTCGCCGCCTCGACATAAGGGCGCGTGAGGGAGCGTCGCTCCCCTTCTCTAAGCCGGGCGAATTACGCGTAGGAGATTAGAGCGGGCGCCGCCGCGCGATGTGGTTTAGTGGATAAGGCCCAGCTTTTACTACGCAGAGGTCCCACGTTCAATTTCACCCGCCGAATAGTTTTTTTTCTGGATTTTTTTTCTTGCGTTTTCATACATATAGATAGGTGTACATATACGGTGCATGACATCGACGCCGATAGCAAAATCCAGCCGAGAGTGCCCATATAATTGCTAATGCAATAAAAGAGCCGCCGGACGTTACAATGGAGAACGGTGCGAGTGGTTCAAAAATCCAATTTTCGCGTGGTTACACAGAAGATGTGGTGTCATCAAGCGGGGCGCAGTTGAACTAGAGTGTACTAGTACACTCTAGTTGAACCAAAAAAACGTCTGCAATCTCAAAGCCAATGGCGGGAAATTAGTTGATGACTGTTGTTGCTGCTGTGGCTGTCGCTTCTTTCGGTCAGCTGCTGGTGTTAGTGCAGTAAGGCCGGGCAACGTTGGACACAGCAACAGTGACGTGAGTCTGTCCGGTCGGTCCGCTTCTTGAGGTGGGTAATTTGAAGTGCGCTAACGCGATGCGGACCACTAAAACGTGAATTTATTTGAAAAGAGTTCCTTTTTTGGCACAAACGTAAAACTACGAGGTTTCTGGACCGCTATTTAAACAATCGACGTCGACTTGATAGTTGCCTTTAGTGTCCCATTAAATAAGGTTTCCTGGCAAAGTTAGTTTTACCCTCCGACTGTAGTGAAGAAACACATTCTGTGGAAAGCTGATGGTACTATAAACTGCTGGGCCCAGTCTTGCAATCGTGTGTGGTAGATAAGGAGAGTTTAAAAGGGGAGCATGGATGTTTTTTTTGTTTTTTTTCAGGCGCGCTCTTTTTCATACAGTGGCCTCTGCTCGCAATTTTTTGGGAGATACCGGCGCCTGCTGTTTGGCGTCGCACAAAATATTGCATGTTATTCGCCGATAGCCGACAAAAACCAAGAGCGGCGTCGTTTGGATTAGATTCTCTTGCATGGGGGGGGGGGGGGGGGGGCGACGTGCTGGCGCCGCACTCTATAGTCTTCTAACATTTGGTAGCAGTCATATAGCGCCCAAAGGAATCGCAACGGGAGAGAGTGATGGCGAGCGAAGGACATGGCGGGTTCTGACGTAACTTCTTTCCCTCGTGCCATCTCACACTGAGTATCTTACTGCACGCTCGTTGGGACGCGAGAATGCGTCGGTCATGAGAACGGGTTCGAGAAATCTTGGTGGCAGTCGATTCGTGAGACACTGAATTCAACACCGAGGTCATCTGATAATAACCTGGAAAACTGGTTCTGCCACTTTTGAGGTTTAGTGCAAGGATACGCGACGATGCAAGAAACTCGAGGACACAGTGTCTTACCCGAGCTAAACCAACAAAACAAGGAGAAAATACACAGTGTTTTGCTTTTCCTTCGCCACCGGTCATCAAAGCTGGCAGCAGTAAAATCGAGTACACATGCAATTTCCTGCGTTGCTTCTAAAAGGGATAGGCATCAGACAGATTCATTTGGACGTCCGCAGCTGCTGTACTGGCACTCAAATAAATCTGTCTATTACTTTTGCATTTGAAGTATGCGCTGCATACTTGCCTGGCAGGATAGGCGCCGCAGTATGACAAACGCCATGGCCTGGAAGAGGGCGCAGGCAAGCGTGATGACGATGCCCGATATGGAGGTGCCCACGTCGGGCGTCATCAGAAGGGTGGGCAGAAAGGCCACCAGGATTCCACACAGAACGAGCAGGCCGGCAGCCATCTCGCGGGGGCCGCAGCGCTCCTCCAGTATGGCGCAGCCTGCGCGTGTGGAATTCACGTCATGCGTAAATCGTCAATCATAACTTGTGGACGACTCTTTGCTGACAGACACATGCGCTTCGCCGTTTCCTCCAAGTGTGGTCATACATACGTGACGGATGCGAGACATATAAAGAACAACACCTCGTTGATGCGTCCCCGTTTCGTACGATTTCTCGATGAAAACGTTCGCGATGTCATTGTCAAGTGAAACTGAGCGACGTTTGAGTAAATCTGCATTGTTGTACGTTCTCACTTGGAGTACTACAAAAATACTTAGGATCTGCTGTGTAGTTATTCTAGTTATATTTAATTACTTCAGCATGCAATTAATGAGGTGTGAAAAAAGTGGTAACGGTATTGGTTACTATACATGCTTGTAGCACGAAGACATGAAAAAAAAAAAACATATATGGATTCTTCAGAAAGGAAGCTTAGTTGCCGAAAAATTCGTCCCCGTTCGGGGATCGCGGGCAAAATTTTCGGCAGCAAAGAAAATTTCTTCCTGAGAAATCCGTGCCGATTTTCTCATGGCTACGCACTACAAACTGGTAATTCCGATCTCGCGGGATTCTGCGTAACTTATTTGAAACAAATTGATGTACATGAATACGGCAAGGAAGAGACCTCGTGCAAGCTCTCACCAAGTTGAATGTGTAAGAGACAAAATGACTTTTGATTGGAAACGTCTGAGCTTTAGTGCCTGTGTTCACAAGAGCGGGAATGGTCCCAAGGCAGTTAATCTGGGATGCCGTTTACCAAATATCGCTGCGAACACGGGCATGGTGTTGATGAGGAGCGAGAACTCGGCCAGCGGCAGTGTGGAGCTGCCGAGCGTGAAGGTGAGCGCCCGCAACGCCAGCACCACGGAGACGGCGGCGAGGCCTAGCCGATGTCCCTTGTCGGCCAGCAGCTGTGGCCTCCATAGGGCGATAACAGGCAGCAGGTAGAGCACCGAACACACGCACCTCAGGCCGGACACTGCCAGCGGAGGTATCACCTGCGGTCACATAATAGGTTGAATGTGAACATTTGACAGAAGTCTGTCTGCTTGGGTATGAAACTGGGAGATGATTTAGACTCGACCCAAAAGTTTTACAATATTCCGTCGCTGAGTGCCCCTCGTCGTATTTCGGCGGGACGAAAAACCTACCGCAGCGACTGAAGCAACACGCCAACGATGTGCGCCAACGATGTGCGCAAGTTTTAGAATGAGCGCAGCGCAGTCGCCGAACATGCTGAGACGTTAGATCACCAGATAAATTTCGAAGCGACGGCCATACTTGAAAGCGAGCCGAACTGGAAAAGAAGGTTGTTACTCGAGTCGTGGCGCATACAGAAGACAGCCTATAACATCAACCGCTCTCTTGGAACCTTTCCCGCAGTGTATACACAGGGGCTTCACGGCAAACCGAGAGAGAGAGAGAGAGTCATTATTCACCCCGCGAGTGCTTTGAAGACGCCGCTGCTACATAGCTTCCGCAGTCACCCCTGAGGAAGGAACCAAGTCGGTTTCGAAACGTCGGGTTTCTTCAAAACATTTGGTTGGAGTCTAAATCATACTCGGGTTATATCGTTCACCACCAAAAGCACATGTGCACTATAGGGAGCTAGCCCCCCTTAGCATTTGAGGTTGACGGGGGGTGGCAAGCCTGACCGTTCGGCTGGCTGTGCTATTAGGGGCGAAGTTCCTCTAAAGTCTAACCTTGTCCTGCATCAGGTGGTTTACAGACAGACAAACAGATAGACAAACCAGACAGACGTACGGATGGACGGATGGACGGAAGCGTAGACGGGTGGACGGATGGTTGGATGGATGCATGGACGAACGCACAGACGGAAGGACGGACAGGCAGACAGACGGACAGTCTGGCTGAGAGACGGATGGATGGACGCTTCGCCCCACTCATCATGATTCACTCCGTGGATATGGCGAGATTTTCTTTTAGCTTTTGTGCCATCGGGGGCATCCACAATCTTGAGGTGATCCCGCGAACCGCTTGCTGTAGAATCGCTTTCAGGGCCGAAGCTCCTTATAGCGGCACCCGTTCGTCCCTCGTAGCCGTTGTATTGTGTAACAAGTATAGGATTTCGACTTCCAAGGTGGTGCCAATGAGAGATTTCTTCTGTGCGTTGTTGAACAATAAAATATAGTGCTCAATGTACATGCTAATGGCTGCTAAGGGGGAATGAGAGATGGGAGCATTCGGCTTTTAGTTAACGCGCATGCTGCGATCCCCCTTAGCAGCCATTCGCATGTACATTGAGCACTATCTGACAAGAAATGGTTGCTACGTTATACTCTCTAGGTGTAACCTCCTTAGTTTTAGAAAGGTTTAGCGAGCATTGAGCCGCAGTGCCACTAATACAATGAACTAGTATATACCATGAACTCGAGGTGGTTAAAGGTGGGAATTAGATAAGAAGCGGAAGCCGTAAGAAAGTAAAAGCCGAATTCTCCTGTCTCTCATTTCCCATTAGCAGCCATTGGCATGTACATTGAGCACTATCTGACAAGAAATGGTTGCTACATTATACTCGCTGGGTGTAACCTCCTTAGTTTCAGAAAGGTTTAGCGAGCGTTGGGCCGTAGTGCCATGAATACAGCGAACTAGTATATACCATGAACTCGAGGTGGTTAAAGGTGGGAAGTAGACACGAAGCGTAAGCCATAAGAAAGTGTGCGTGGGCCAACTCTCGTTTAGTCCTTGGAATGTCCGCTGGATGGCGGTGCTTCTATATGGGGAATATATGAGGAAAAGATGCGAGATGGTGGTACTTGGAGTGTTGAATAGATGGACGAACGGACACACAGACAGATGCATGAATGGACGCAGGATCGGATGCATGGACGAACGCAGGGACGGGCCTAGGAACAGACGCACGCACGGACGGGCGGATGGGCGCATGGACGGTCACACAGACGGACGCATGGATGGACGGAAGCGAGAACGAATGGATGGACGAATGCTTCGCCCCACTCTCCATCATTCACTCCGTGGATATGCTGCAAATTTTTGTTTTTCAATTCATCTGACCTCCTGTGAAGGACAGTCGTGCTAACTGGTTTCTGTTCGAACAACTGCCGTTTAATGGCTAATATAAGCAATATGCATATTATTCATTAAAGGTTCGTCGTTACTGTTAATGTTGTTAAGTATGGCTGAGCAGCGAAGTCAGAATTCCGAACAAAATTCATTAAGACGTTCAAGCTTCTAAAGCAAAACCAGAGATACAATCGTGAGTCTGTACCATGAGTTTAGCACCACGAAATCTCTTCTTGTGATTCCTACCGTATAAAACTCACATTGAATACAACCACTGAGTCTTTTATACTTTTAAAATGGTCATGGGACGGCTCTAAAGCTCTCCCATAGTAGAGTACCAAGTACTCTAAATCGTTACCTACTTTTTCTAACCCCCCCCCCCCCCCCCTCCTTTTATAAAATGCATAAGCATTAGAACCTTATGGGCGGGGCCCACGGGACGGCTTTATGCTCTCCCATAGTAGAGTACCAGTTACTCTAAATCGTTAACAACTTTTTCCAAACATACTTGTGTGATGCCAACGGGACGGCTTTCAGCTCTCCCATAGTAGAGTACCAAGTACTCTGAATCGTTACCCACTCTTTCTTAGCAAAAGGCATGTATCTGTGAGCCTGCTGGTCAATTGTGATCTTGTTCACGGCGCAATTTTTGGCGCGGCGGCCTCATGAAGTGTGAGGCCCACGGGACGGCTATATTCTAGTATACACTAGAGTACGTCGTACTGTAAATCGTTAGCAATATTTTCTAAACACGTCTCCTTCAGGCAATTGGCGTCTTTTCAGAGTGAAAGCTATCATGAGATCACAAAAAGGGATGTGTGCCGGCGCCGTAGTTATCCACAGCTGTCCGTAACCAGTATTGCGCAAATGAAAAAAAAAAAAAATAAGTAAAATTAAGAAAAAGCCAATACAGCTAGAACACTAAGGTCTCAATGGGATTCAAATCGGGTCCCACGCGTGTTAGCCGAGTCATAGCCTCCTAGATTTTCCTTGCCTGCCGGATTATCGGTGGTCACTTAAAAAGCGGCCGTCGTCGGAACTATGGTGGTGGCGCCACCTAAGTAGGGGTGTCTTCAAATAAGTTTTTACGTTTCTGGAGCTTATATGCAACAAAATAACGTAAAAAAGTTTTAAAAAGGCATATACGTAATTATAATTACCCTACGTAAGTGACGCCGTCATTCAACAAGCAACTCCTTCAATACAAGGCATAGCCTCTGATATTAGTAGCAAACGCCAAAATTGCCGATTTCAAAGGCCAACCCTCACCCCTACGTAGGCAGCGCCGCCATTGATGACGGGCGTTTCGCGCTCATCCGGCAGGCAAGGGAAATCTAGGAGGCTATGGCCCAGTATTCTACCACTGAGCCACGCCGGTGCTGGAAACTATATACGTATCAAAGCTGAACAACGAGGCGTTAGACACTGCGAATTGCGTAACGTGTATACTGTAAAATGCTCAGACTCCATCAAAAAAAAAAAAAAAAAGCTCCAGTCGTGATTCGTCGCCATCGTCAGCCACGGGATAAAAAAAAATTCACAAAATTCCTTGAAAGTGTGTAGTGCGTACCACGCTTCTCGAAATAACGACGAAGGATGGTATGTGGAATGGCTCCCTATAGTACACACAAGTCATAATGATTAATGGCGTAGTGGGTACCCTGCAAGCGTGCTTGTACCAGTTACCCAAAGAGTGTTAAAAAAAAAAAACTCTAAAAGGCCCCTCTGAGTTTAAATGCGTAAGTAACTAACTTGAGGATGCTGCCGGCCGGTTTTGGCTGATCCCACTTTGCTGAGCGCCGGCAAAGCAAAAGGCTCATCATCATCTTCAGCTTTCGCTGTGACTGTGCTGTGCCTTTCGAGCAGACCTGGCAGTTTTTTTTTTCCTTCAATCTAGGGATTTTTGTAACGTTTTGTAAATATGACATAACGCGGCCTGATTTCAGGCATTACTGAGTAATACAGATTTTTCAACCAGAAAGCCAATAAGCGGTAATCTAACTACTTTTTTATTTTGTTTTGTTTAAAACTGCTTTGGCCTTCTGTTGCGTCGAGTGAGGGCGATGACAGTACTGCAGAACGAGATTACTATATGCTGAATACCGGCAGAAATGAAGCTTTGCCATCGTAAGCGTTAAACATGCATGCACTCAGCATACCAACATGAGCGCCCCGAGTGATTGCTATTCTCTGTGAAACAAAGATAATCTCGTTCTTGTAGTACACATAAACGCGTGTCAAGTTTACGCTCACAGCGTGCCTTCGCCGTGCAAAAACTGCATGTCCCATTGAGAAACAGAGCGAAAGTAGGACTGAAAATTGGGTGCGCTGGTAAGGGTTTGTTATTAGGATAACGACATGATGAAAAGGGACGAGAAGACAGTTCCGATCCTTCACTCTTTTCGTTGTGCTGCTTTTATAAGAGCAAAAAAAAAAAAAAGTGGCAGGATATTTAGCCAGTAGGGAAGCTAATCGAAAGTACGGAGAGAAAGTACGGAGTGTAGCGATTAGCCAGTAAACAATGTGCCCGCGTAGTACATCTACTGCAAATAATGTTACACTGATTGATAATGTGAAAAATTAGAAATTGACTGCCACCTCGCTGGCTGCAAGTACAAGAAAAGCGCCACAGACTCGCGGTTGACCCGAATGATCACACTAATGCTTTTAATTAGTGCGCAATCTGAACATGACAGACAAACACGTCTCTGAAGCAAGTGGTGCGATCTGCAAGCCAAAGTTTATTCTAGTAACGTTGCTGCAAGCAGTTTATATCTAACTCTACAAAACATGTAATAAAAGGACCGTAAATAGTTGTTGAAAATAATATTGAAAATTTTCTTATAATTTCGGGAATTTTCGAGAATAACTACAGCGATAAAAGAAAAACGCTGTCTTATGTTGGCATCACTCCGTGTGAGCGTGTCTGAAAAACAATTCTTTGGTGCTTTGGTATTTGCTAATGTGAACTTTTCTGTAACTTGATTCCATATGGTCTAAGTGGCGTCCGGAGCTAGGACAACTCAATGCTTTCCCATAATAGAGTACGAAGTATTCTAAATCGTTAAAAACGTTTTATAAACACATGAATTTAACTGAACATTTTTACCTTCACCGGAACAGCTTCTGGCTCTCACATATTGGAGTGCGTATAGTGTTCTAAAGCGTTTGCTATTTATTCTAAACAGCCTGCTCTATATTAATACTGGGACGGCTTAGTGCCGTCCCATTGTAATAGAGAAGATGTTATTTCAAAGGACATATACACACACAATCCCATCTAGAGAACATTTCTTAAAACTAACAAGAAGTGGCTACTACAACATAGTATTACAGAGGAGAGAACGACTATCAAAGTCTAAGTCGTCGATAGTTTGTTCTAAACTTCCTTACTCGGCAGGGCATGCTAATAATCATAACTACGGGGTATTGTGTACCAGAATCGCGATATGGTCTTAGGGGATGCTGTAACGCCAAACCCCACAAATTTCGTCGGGCCCCTTGAGGTTCTTTAACGTGCTCTTAAATACAAGGCAAGCCCGTAGCAAGGATTTTTTTTTTTCAAAGGGGTTTAGAGGGAGGGACGCGCTACTTGTTGAAGGTCTCGAAAGAGCCGTGTTTTTATTGCATTTATGCTCTGTCCATGCACCTTTCAGTTGATATAGGGGGGGGGGGGGTAGGGCAACTTTTTTGGCTTCGCACTTGGCCACCGTGGCTGGGATTCGATCCCACGACCTTCACCCATCCCGCTCCCTACTAAAGGGATCTCGATATTTTTTGTAATGGTAAATTGCTCTTTCAAAATGCCATAATCACCACACTTGCCATTAGCCGAGAGCTTGGCAAGTGTGAAATGCAGGGGGCTTCGCCACCTGGAATTTTCCTCACCATTCGCCGTGACGCCATAGATTTTAACTGATTGCTAGTTTCTGCGTATTTCTTCATCGGTAGATAAAAAGGGGGGCAATGAATTAGGGAGCCAAACAACTGGCATACCAAGTGTCAGAAAATTCTCTTGAGCCAGTGCGGCAGAAATACGAATAAAACGTTCTGAAATAGGTGAAGATGACTTCGGAAATTCCGGCGCCAAATTTAGTCATGAAACACTCGTTTCCAACTTTCTCTTCAATTATTGAGCCTATAATGGGGAAATTAACAACAATAGAGTTTTCATATAGTATAATTTATCCGTATAAACTGCAATTCGTTATTTGACTTGAGTGCCCCTTCAATGGCCAACCCTGCGAACGACTGTGCTTGTGACGCATATCTGTCGGTCCGCGATCACGGCGTTATAACTCGTCATGGTATTTGTTGTGTTCCAAGCACCCCTGTGTCACGAGCGCTCCAAACCCGCGAAGGACCGGTTGCTGAAACTGCTTCCAGATGTTGACTCCTTCCCTTCCCCCGCTCGGCGCAAACGAGCCACCGGCGTTTCCCCCGGCAGTTCGGCCGCCGCCTCCATCCGAATAGAAATAAACTTGTTTTTAACCGTTCGAGGCTGTCTGAGCTTTTTGGACTACCGCGACCAACGCGTACGTCTATGGGCCGACGACAACACCGGACATAACAGTATCGAACCCCTGACCTCGACGAGTCCGATGAGCAGTCCTCCGACGCTGATGGCGAGTCCCGTGGCGAGAGCAGCCGAGATGCCGGCTGCCTCGCGCCAAGCTGCCTGGGCCAACTGGGCGACGCTGCTGTGGCGGCGCAAGTACGGCTGCCCTTCCGTGCTTTTTCCCAGTCCGCCATTGGGTTCTTTGTTCTGTTCTCCGCTGGCACCTGCACGATAGAAATTAACGACAGCCAACGATTCATACGCTTGTGTCGGTCCTTGTTTTCCTGTCTTTCTTCTGCCTGCGCCCCTGACTCAAGCTTATTCCTAACAAACGATTAGTGCTGCAAAACTTGCCTATATATGAATAGCGTTAGCTCGTAATTTGTTTTAATATTTTTTTCCTGTTCATTATGAATAGAAAACAGGTAAGAAAAAGAAAATGAACGGGTACGTGCTGAGCACAAATTAACGGCACTTATGCGATATGGTGTTCTTGTAATAAGAATAACTACTGAAACAAAGAAGTCGGGACCCCACGCCTGCCTTTCAAATGACGCCCCCCCCCCCCCTTCAACCAGAATTGAGTGGCTGTATTCGACCCTGCTTTTGAGAGTAATCGCGAGCAAGCGATAGGGCACTTCGCCGCATCTCGCAGCGGCCGCGTTAACTATATGCAGCTCCCTACGCTCAAATCAGCCAATAACCGTGGACATTGTGTTGGCGCGAGCGCTTGAATTTATGACGTCACTTGTCAAAAGAAGATCGGGCGGTTTGCATCTGATTTCGAGAATTAATTGCGAATTGCAGGCCGTGTTACGCCCTGTAATATTTGGCTTTTTTTTTTTTTTGACCACCTATCGACAGGCTTTTCTGACTTTAGGCTGAAAGAAGTGTTGCAGGACCCAGGAAACCTCGCTGCACGACTCTTTGTGACCATTCGCTTAGAATGTCGGCGTGTAATCCTTGGACAGCGCTATCGTCGCGACTTTGTAGTTTCGTCGCTCACTCTCTTTTTCTTCATTCATTCACGCCCCGTTTACTCTTTCCAAATGCAGGGTGGCCATCTGGAAAATTCTTTTAGTTAAACACTCTTTACCTTTCTCTCTGTTGGTCGCACCGTCATACTACACCCTAAAAAAAGCTTTCCGGTGGAACTGCGCATTTGCCACGAAAAGAGCTCTTTGCCCCTCTGAAATACGAAATCTGTGTGCAAAATATTGCCTACGGCATGGCAAGGAGGGCCGCTTTCCTCTTTGTGGAGTAAAGCGGTCCCCCCCCCCCCCCTTTTTTTTTTTGGTGTACCTTCCAGAATGTTCGCGTCGTGTGCAAACGACTCATCGGTGCCTGCACAAGCTTGTTTCCTTTCAGACGGTGCCGTAGTGTGATGTGGTGCAGTGAGTAGTGTACATGCATGCTGACTGAGTGGTTTTGCGTTCGAATCCCGGGTTGCTGCTGCAAATTTTCCGTAATTGTTTCCGAACGTGATGCTTGCCCGTCGATTGTACAAATAATCAAATGCCTGCACGCACTTCGAAAGGCTGGTATAAAGTCAACCAAAACCTGATTTTTCTTTTGCGCGAAATAACTGTTGCTCCCTTGAGGAGTTACAGCGAGAACGCGGAGTAAATTCTCACTTACTTCCAAGATGGAGCAATGGGTGTGGCAGGTTAGTTACTCCTCTGTGATGATTACGATGATTCCCGGAAGAATGGCACAATCCACCGCGGAGCTCAACCAAGAGGTGTGCGGCAGTAGAATTTGTGGAACAGAATAAACAAATAATACAAGGGAGAAAAAGAGGAGCAACCTCGATACCCCTCTTCCCCCTTCACTTCTGAGAGTGTACAAAGCAATGAATGGCTATCTTGTATTTCATGGACCTCTCTCCACCCGGCGGGCTTCTTATAAACTGACTCACCACAAACGTCACATTTCTGCACTACTGTGTGTTTGCAAAAAGTGGTTAACGACTTAGAGTACTGGGTACTCTACTATATATGGGAGATCTGAAAGCCTTCTCTCGTACCTCACACTTGATGCGGGCGAATCGACGAAAATTGTGCTCGGGCCGGACCGGGGTTGGTAAAAACTAAGCGTTTCCCTCGCAAGCCCAACGAGTTTTGCTGTTCGTCCGACTACCTTCGGAGATGTCACTGTCAGTTTAATGCTTAATAAAAGTATGACGACCGCTGCGTCATGACTCATCGTATAGCTGTGCTTGTGCTGCTGCTTTGTCCCACTAAACTACGCTGCTAATCGTATATTTATGCTGCCGTGTGCTGAAGTACACTAACATCGATGATAAATGCGATTCAGCTGGTGCCTGGGGCGCCGTTTACAATTTTAAAGTAAAACATTAGAAAAAAGATCTGGGTCGCAAGTGCAGCATGATCACTCACAAAAATATTCCGTGTGCCTCGTGCTCGCATTTGTCTACTTTTCAATGTTTTTTTTCTTTTGGTTGTGCTTTCGTTTTATTGCTTCTATGATCTGAACTCTCTTTTCGGGCTTGCGTTTGTACATCGGTGAATTCAGCATGGCTTATACCGCGGCCTACCGCGCGTGCGCATGAATCCATGCACACACACACACAACGAGCAACATGCGCAGCTGGCAATGATCGCGTACTAGCTGCTTGTACTGTGTCGTCAGTAGCGTGTGCGGCTGTATCTATGCAGAGCCAAAATGCGAAACAGGATCCGCCTGACGGCACAAGGTTTACAGACTTAATTCTTAAAACTAATCGCTTGTTTGAAGCCTTGTACAGTTTTAACGCGTCGCCAATTCAACGGCTTCACTCTGGGAGGTTCCCTGATTGAAAGTATTTCTGGGAAGATTGATATTTCATGTAGCACATTGAAGTAAGAAATCAATAGTTGAGCTGTGACTGGCTTTTTTGATTGATATGTGGGGTTTAACGTCCCAAAACCACCATATGATTATGAGAGACGCTGTAGTGGAGGGCTCCGGAAATTTCGACCACCTGGGGTTCTTTAACGTGCACCCAAATCTGAGCACACGGGTCTACAACATTTCCGCCTCCATCGGAAATGCAGCCACCGCAGCCGGGATTCCAACCCGCGACCTGCGGGTCAGCAACCGAGTACCTTAGCCACTAGACCACCGCGGCGGGGCGTGACTGGCTTTTTTTATGCTTGTTTCTGCATACATATTCATAACGTCATACACCTATTTGCATAAGTAAACAAACTTCGACAACTACGACAACAACAGCAACAAGAACGACAACAGACTTCAGGATTTCTTTGTGTGAAGGTTACTTATAATTCATTTCATGCCTTCATCTTATACTGAACACGTTGCCGTTTTGCATTTTAAAGGCCTCAGCTGGCGACATTTTTCGTGCACGTTGTTTTCTGCTCTTCTCAAGACCCCAGTTATAGTTCCTCAGATAACGGAGAGAGACACAAACCGTATTGTGCTGCAGAGAAAGCAGGAAGTGGAATCTTCGCGTTATTTGAAAAAAAAAAAAAAACGACACGGGTGGTCACAGTGGCAGTATAGCTCGTGCCATATTGTGAGCATCCCCGTAAGCACGCTAATTAGATAAGTTGATTGCTTGATTTGTGGCGTTTAACGTGCCAAAACTACGATATTATTATGAGAGACGCCGTATATAGTTGAGGGTTCCGGACATTTCGACCCCCCCTGGGGTTCTTTAACGTGCACCCAAATCTCAGCACACGGGCCTACAACATTTCCGCCTCCATCGGAATTGCAGCCACCGCAGCCGGGATTCAAACTCCCCACGACCTGCGGGTCAGCAGCCGAGTACATTAGCCACTAGACCACCGCGGCGGGGTATTATGTGAGCTATTCGGCCCATATCAACAAATATATCTTTTAGCTGATCGGACATGCGTCTGGTTAACCTCTTTGCCTTTCCTAGCATCGCAAACTGGCTGCCTATAGGCTGGTTAACCCCCCTGGGGTTCTTTAACGTGTACCCAAATCTGAGCACACGGGCCTACAACATTTCCGCCTTCATCGGAAATGCAGCCGCCGCCGCCGGTATAATAATAAGATAAGTTGAACGATACGCTTTTCTGATTAGCAGACACACCACGACACACAGCGTGTTACCTAATGCCCACTATGCCCAGTAACTAAGCCTAAATAGCAACAAGTACTCATCGCAATGTGACCGCCGCTGTGGTACATTGCATGGCTATGTGCTCGAATGCAGACCCGAAAGTCGCCGCATCAAAACCTTGCCGCTGCGGCCGCAATTCGATGCAAGTGAAACGCAAGAAACCCGTGTATTCAGATTTGGGTGCACATTAAAAAAGCGCCAGATTCAGTAGACAAGGAGTACATTTTAAGCAGGAAATCGCAAGGCAAAAGATCTACGACGATTCTCAGGGTTGTTCTCTGCTCTTCGAGGCTAGAACGGGAGTATTACGGACAAGGAGGATTAAAGAAAAAGAAATTTAACCCTCCTTGATTGCAGATCAAGACGTACCAAACAAAATACGCAGGCACAGACACGGTATGTAGTGCGTGTGGAGAGGAGGACGGAACGGCTGAACATTTGATAATGTTCTGTAAAGGGCTCCGCCCTATAGTCGAAGATAATGGCGCCGAATTTTGCAAAGCATTAGGGTTTAGGGACAGTAAAGGCAAAAAAAACCTTAAACGTGTATAAATAACCAGCAGGAGGCCAACTGGTTTGTGGCTGCAATCGAGGCGCGAGTGAAATTCAATCCTTAAACACCGTGATAGTACTTAACGTCATAACTAGGTGGCATGAGCCGCCACCCGATCTGAAGGGCACAGCCGGATACATCGATCCATCCATCCGGTAGCACACCGGACACGTCCCCCACCCCCTGATTTTTTTTTTTTTTTTACGGGATGCAGAGCGCAAAACGACACTTCGCAACACTTAGATGCCCGCACCCCACGTCAGATCAAGGGCGTGCCTTACCCGGAAAAAATTGCTGCCGACGCTACTGCAAGACAGTAAAAATTTTCGAAGCCCTCGACTATATACGGCGTTCCTCATAACCGTATGGAGGTTTTGGGATGTAAAGCGCCGATAATGATTAGGATATTTAGTAATCTATTTTCGCAGTCTCAAGAAATACATCGGGTGTGACAATATAGCACAGCTTAGAGTCGTAGGCAGAAATCTTTTTTAGTGTGTGTGTGTGTGGAGGGGGGGGGGGGGAAGGCATTCATTTAGGATAAGGTCATTTTACGTTATATTTTTTAGGGGGAGGGGGGGGGGGCACGGGCTTGGTGAGCCACCATGGACTATGCCACTGGCACCGGCCGTGTCCATGAACTTGCCTTCTGTAGCCAGCTTGGCCGCGGCCACTTCGACGCTGACGTCATCGCCTGCCTTGCTGTCCCCGGCTGTCATGGCTGTGCGGATCACAGCTGCCGTCGGACTCCACAGGTGTCATTCAGCGTCCTGCGGTCAATGGTACATCACACTGCGACATTCACCTATTCGAGGACACGTTATATACGCGAAGCGCTCTCCACCTTTCAGACGCAGTTTGTCGCAAAACAGTGATTTAATTAAACAGGGGACTATTGCTTGCGTGAGCTGGCTTTAACAAAGCTACGAGTAACTAAACTGAAAGGACGAAGAAGATACAATAAGTGTTAGAAATTAAACGTAGAAAGGAGGCACACAGTACACACACTCGAATTTTCACTAAGGACGCCCATAATCGTAGATCAGGGCCGAAAAGACGCGTTAGCATAAAGAAAAAATATCGAACTGAAACTTTGAACGCGAATGTATATTCTGTGCATAAACTGGAAATACAGTACTTAGGATTTGTTAATTTACTTTTTTTAATACTCCCCGGACCTGTTGCTTATATATTGTGAAGCTGATTTGTCTGCAAGATTGGCGCATGGAAAGAACAATGGCCCCTAGTTGGGATGCGAACTCTTCAGCACTGTGACCTTCGAAAAAAGGAAAAAAAAAAAGAAGTTTGCACTAAAACGCACAAGGCTAGAAACAGCGAAGCTGCAATATTCTGAAGTGTAACCTGGTTCCTTTCAAGTTGCTAGGCTTTGCTATAAGTGATGCTGGGGGGTTTTTAGGTTGTTGCTCTCGGTCGCTTGGCCAACATTGGTTGACATTTAGTCAGCATCAGCCAGCACTAATGAGTAATATCACTATTTAATTAAATGCGCGTTGTTGAAGTCACATGACGTAGACTGTATACTGCCTGATCTGCCTGATCCCGCAGTAGCGCCTGTACGGCGTGATCAGTTTATTTTTTTCTGTCAGAGCTATGACATCGCACTAACTTATAAAATCTGGGGGGACGAAGATCTCGACCTCCATATTGCTTCGAAGAGGAAGAGAGAGAGAAAGTGTAGTTTTGTCTTTTGGGTTGTTCACTCTGCTGATTTATCTATTCCACATGTCTCCAGGGGTGCTGAAGCCACCAGTTTCAATTTCTCAAAGAAAAAAAAAGTGAAGAAACGTTGTACATCAGCGTCCGAAGCTTCCTTCGGAATGTAAAGTAGGGCTCTCGTCATTCACGACAAAGACTGGATATGTTAACGAGCTTATGGCGCAAAGAAACACAAGACATTCTTAACGAACTTATGGCGCAAAGAAACGCAAGAGAAGGACAAGCGCAATCCTTGGGCAAGCCTTCTTTGCGCCATAAGCTCGTTAGGAATGAACCAACTCGCCTACCGAGTCACTCTACTAGATATCTAATTTATGTTGAAGTCAAATGGCAGAATCGGGGCCGCCGACGAACTCCACGTTGGAGCAATCGACTGTGGCCTGTAGGGCAACACCTCCGGATCCGCGATTGGAGCACAACGTATTGCCGCTGGAGCAAGGCAAAAGGTCTATCCTTCGAGTGACGAGTTTCCTATAGTACCTTGCACACAGTTATTCTATGCTGCTGTAGAATTCTGTCGAATTCCCATTCGTGCACAGCAGTTTCAGCGTCGCTGTCAATAACCGACGAATCACTCGTGAAGAAATATATTTAACTCGGAGCTGTTTCTATTGAGCAGCGGAAACAATGCCGCACGATTTGCCGACTCATCCACGCCATCCGCCATAACGACCAAAACAAGCGACTATATACCGGCGGCTGCCCCAAGCAGACATGTTAAAGGAAGTACGTCACGCCGAGCTCTCTAAGTTCACTCCGCCGATTTCAGCTGAGCAACTTTTGCTGCTCCACGAAGTGACTGCCGCTCTTAATCCACTCCGATTCCCCCCCTGGAACTCTTTGACTCCCGCCATCACTCCGCCATTGGAACACATTCGCTTCAAAACGAGCACAAAAGCTTGCTCTGGCACTGCCATTGTAATTCAACAGAAGAAGAATAGACTGCTGGGCGAGTTGACTGCGCTCATAGGCGAGTTGTTGGGCGAGGTGTAATTGATACCTTATAAGCGCCCTGCACGTAGACGTCAGTCAGACACGCGCAGCTTCGCACCGTACTGGTGCGCTCTAATATGACACGGTGCCAATGTGTCATATTCAGGACCAATAGTCATTGGAACGCTGCTGACGTGTGTACAAGAGCTTACAGCAGAACCAGTGCGCCTAACCACAACAGATGCAGCTTTCCGACTTGTCTGCTGGTGCTCCAACATGGCGGTAAATTGACGTCAGTGCAAACCATTTATAGCTTAGGCGAATGCAAAATGTGAAAGTGCGCACGCACATATGAACTCTTCAGCGCGTACACATTCGAGGGTGTAACCCCTCATAGCGTATCGAAACCCATTGACTTGTAGCCAATGAACGTACGGAAACGTATTAGTCATTGCCATAATGCATCGTGACGCTAAAGTGCTATCCGAGCGTCATTCATGATCAACAAAGAATACTTCAACAGCAATGCTTATCTGTTTCCCGCTTCACTAATATTTAGTTCTTGATTGATATCTGGGTTTTACGTCCCGAAACCAGCATATGATTATGAGAGACGCTAATAGGGAGATTTAGAATAGCGCACCGCGAGCCCTTGCGGTGCGGTCGCTGCCACTGCGCATGCGTCGTAACGTGAGTCGGCGTTCGCGTTCGCGGACCGCACGCAGAAAATACGAAATTGCGTGTGGTGATGGCGGCCCGCAAGCGCTGGTTTCGAGGCTACGGTGTCGCTGCGATCGTGCGTTGCGGTTTGCAGCAGGGCGAACGCTATTCTAAAGCTCGTATGGCGCGCGCTACGCCCGCAACGCCCGCAGCGCTTGCAAATGGTATTCTAAAGCTATCTAATATTTAGTTCTACCTACGCACAGTGTCGCAGCTGCTACAACGATCGAGATAATGCAGAGTCAGCGAGTTCGCTTCATGTATGAAACATAATCGTAGATATAAGGACAGCCACTCGCGTTGTTTACCCCACATTTCCGAGCATCGCTGTACAGGTGCTTCGCTGCACTTGATGCTTCACCGCCACCTGCAATAGCTGCAGCATGTGAAAGTAATCTGATCACAACGCAACTACGCTGACGCGTGTGCTTCTAATGCATCTGTGCCGTGGAACTGTGGAAGTAATTTGAAGCTTCGATATATATATATAACTCGACACTATATATACAGGCTAGGGTACGTGATTTAATGCCCTTATTTCTTGTAGTGCGTCTACAGTAGGAGTCAACGTGTCTCCAGTGGCATAGGTGCCGCTGTCGAACTATACGAAGCGCCACCAGTGGCGCCCCCTCATTTCCGGGGCGTCAACAACTTCCTGTCATTTAAGGTCCTCAACTGTTTCATACAGCTATATGCTCATGTCGCGGCTTTTGTACAAAAAATAAGAAAGAAGAACATTGCCAGGAAGCGTTTGAGATATCCTGACGAAGAAGAGGTGTCATACGGTTACCTGCGTACAGGTCTTCAGATCGTGGGTGTGTGTTTCTACATCCTGAAAATTCTTATAGCGGAACTTTTAGTGGCCGTCACATGTTGCAGAAGTCGTGTGACCCGAGCGCGGATATGTCATGTTTAACGTCATAACACGGCCGTAAAGGTTCTGCCCGCGGCGTTGCGTATAAGTACGCTATTTTGCCAATGTCAGTGGTTCGTTGGCCCGTGCCACTGGGAAAGCCAGTAACCTATACGTCGTACCGCTTCGTGGTTCTTACTGTTTTGCCAGCATCACCAGAGAGGGCAGCGATGTACCGCTCTACCAGTCTCGACAACAGGGACGTTTCTGCTCGGGTAACGTGATTAATCCAGCATGCATGGGACGTCGACTGCAAGCTACAATTCTAAAAGTTAATTCGAACACGAACACACGACACGATCACTCACACACGCACACACCCAGGCATCAAACACACACAGCGCTGACTTCCAACTGATTTATAATAGCTCGAAGGCTTGAATACATACTTGACACAAGTCTCTCTCTCTCTCTCTCTCTTTATGCCTGCGTTTGTACACCTATACCTTTTTTTACAAAGTATTGGTACTGGAAGTCAGTTACAGCTAGAGATGCACATTGCCGATAATTTTGAGCAGTATAAAAAAAACTATTTTCTTCGTTTTTTTCCCCAATATTTTGGAAAAAATAAAAAATAGCAAATTTTCTTTGGTATACGGCCATAGTTTATTGCCATATGGTATTGCCAAGTGTCAAAAGCAATTACTTTCATTTTGTAAATAACAGAAATGAAATGATTTCTCTCTTTTCATAAATGAATACATCATATAACAGATCAATAGTAGGGCAGAAGCATCACCATGAACTCATTTAGCACTCTGTTGATGGGTGCGGCTTCCCAGGGTTGGTATGGTAGATAGAAAAAAAGAACCCAGAAATGTCTATTTCGTCGTGACTATGGCTATGAAAACATTGATTAAGATGGCAAAAATAGTAAGTACCAACTCAGTATCACTGGCTTCATCTGGATGTCGCATTGTGAAAAACGTAGCTGCTGTTGCAGTGCAGGCAGACACCAAGTATCCGTGTCTCGCCACCGGTCGCTTCGAGCGTGAAGTACTTCCACATCAGAAATTAGCCCGACCACTGCAGAATCTACTTGTTCGTGGCTTTGTAAGCTGACTGCCGCCGCAGGTTGCAGAAGTGTACGAGAGAAACTCAAAGCGGAACAATAATGGGTACCAAACCATCATAAACCTCCCCCAACATGACCACACCCGAACGACGAAATTACGTTAAGACGAGTTAAGCTGACGTTGAAGCTGACTCTATGCGGCGTCGGGTGACTGGTCACCCGTCGTTTGGCGTTTTGGTATAATGTGCGATGTTGCGGTTTCACGTTGAACGCTGGGTGTTGACTAGGGTTTATTTCAATACGTTTTACCCCATGGAAATTTCGGTGGATTCTTCCAATTACGCGAAAAAAAAAACGAAAAAAGAAAGACTATCTTTCCGGAATTTTGTCTTTTTTTTTTCGCACTTCGCATTTCATCACCGAAATAAAAATAAATACAGCCCCGCACACAG